TGCATATATAAAAGTGCTTTTTGTGTGCATTTTTTGTCGGTTGAACTGCGATAACTTTTTAATTTTAATATATGTTACTTAATCAAACATATATATTTAGAATAAATGAACAAATTAATTTTTAAATTTTAAATCTAATAGCACACCATAAATATTGAACTTATTTATTATGTAAATTATTTTTTTAATTTTTAAAAATAGTGCAATCTGGTCTTTAATGTTAGTAAAAGTTAATTTTAATCATTAGCTAACTAAAAGAATGACAAAAAAGAACCTCAAATATTACAAAAGCCCAAATTTTTTTCTGCAATTTTTGGGTCCTTTATTGTGTTTTTGAGTTTTTTTATTATTTTTAGTTAACCAATGGTCAAAGTTAACTTATTGTAACAGTAGAGGTTAAATTGTACTATTTTTAAAAGTTGAGAGAATAATTTACACAAAAAATAAATTCATAATATATGGTTCTATTTGACTTAAAATTTAGATGATAATTTGCTTATTGACCCTATATTTAAATTACTGTATTTTTATATATTTCATATATTATTATTATGTAGTTATTTTGATAATACATATTACCAAACATATATACACAATAACACATGTAAATATATAAATTAACACTCTCTCTGTTAAAAAATGTAAGGTATTTTTAACCGAATATTATCTACAATAAAGTAATTATCTACTTTCAAACTAACCCTATCTTACCATATTTACCTCTATTAAATATCCTATAATAAATATAAAGTTACTATCAATATGGGTACTTTTGAAAAAAAAAGCAATGATTACATCTCAAAAGATTAAAAATGCCTTATATTTTTGAACGAATGGAGTATATATTTTTAATATATTAATAAATAGATATATTATTTGATATTAATTAATACTCCCTCCGTTCAAAATGTAAGGCATTTTTGAGGAGTTAGATATTAAAAAATGTAAGGCATTTTTAGTCTTTTGAGGTGTAATCGTTGCCTTTTTTTTCAAAAGTATCCCTATTGATAATAATTTTATATTTATTATAGTATATTTAATAGGGGTAAATATGAAAGACAGCTAGTTAGAAGTAGATAACCACTTTATTAAAAGATGAGATTCGTTTAAAAATGCCTTATATTTTTTAACAGAGAGGGTATATATTATTAAAATAAATATTTGTATATATCATTTATATTATCTATGTTATAATTGAGATATTTTCATGTGAAAAAAATTTTATTTTAATATGTAAATTTAAATAATAAAAGAAAAAATTATCTGTTATTATTTTTCCATATCATTTTATATTAGTTATTTTACTTATAATATAAAAATTATTTGTGTAATTATTTATTCTGGTAATTTGAATAGTTTTTATATGAATCTCTATAAATATTATATTTTCTAAAATTTTATAAAATATTTAAACATTTTTATTAATTTCTTAATTAAAAATATATGTTACTAATATAAAGATTTAGTAACATAGATTAGTGATGGATTTTAAATTTGTCACTAAATTTTTAAATTTTAATAAAAAAACATGACATTTTATATTTGTTATTAATTTATGTAATTAGTGATAGGTTTCAATCCACCACAAAATTTCTATCATTAATGCTTGTAAATATTTGTCATTAATTTTAATTTTTTTAGTAGCAACATCGTTGCCGATTGTAGCAAAAATATATCAATTAAAATTCATAATTTACATGTGCTCCATTCTGAAAAGTCTATATTATTAATTTATTTTCTTAATATCATTTAAAAATATTTATAGATTAACAATTAAGAATGCAGAAAGAACACATATACAAAAAGTAATGGAGAAACACCAAATTATTATATATTTGCTTTTGTTTTTCTTTTTTATATTCATCCTCATTCATGCAATAAAATGACGAGTGACGAGTGACCACTTAAAAATGAGGAGAGATACATATTTGTGAAGAGCAATAAAATGATATACATTTTAATTTAAAACTTTAAGGTTTGAGTTTATGAGCCCTTATTCTTTATTTATGTATTAATTATTTAAATAATTTTATTCCTAATTGGCTCAAATCTATTTACACATTGACAACCTAACATTGAGAAAAAGAGTTCATTTTTATATCAAATTAAATATATTTAAGAAAAAATTATGCACATTGTATCCATTATAAGTAAAGGATATTTTTTAAGGATATTTTTTGCACAAAAATAAAGTTTTATCCTAACAATATTATATCTATTATAAATATAACTAAAAGTGCGGAACACACCTCTTCATTTTCATCTTTTCGTATAAAACTTTTATTGTTATAAATTTTGATTATGCTTTATTTATCATTCTCATTTGTATAACTCTTGATATAAACTTGTGCTTATAAATAAACCACGCCATTTGTATTGTATGTAAAAAGAGAATACATCAGGAGTCATCCTTATTTCTATTGGCCATATTCTTCTCTTCCTCTTTTTTCTTCTAATTTCTATTCTTTTTATATTTTATTTATAAAAATATCATATATCATATATTTCTTAAAATCACTCTAAGATATTAAAAGCTTATTAAGCCTTATATTATTCAAACTTATCCTATGTCATGCATTAATCTTATTTATTCTATTATCATATTTGGTGAATGTTCATGATCTCCAAACATTTAAATAATCTTATTATGACTTTCATGAATCTTTTTATTTTATTTTCTTCCCCAATTTATAAACCAAAGTTATAAGTATTGGAGCATCAATGTATACCAAAGACGTTGATAATTTTAGGAAATGTATATCATTGTGTTGGTACAAATACAATGCGATCTATCTTTTAATATTTTTGGCCAAAAAATCCATTTTTTAATATTTAACAATAACAGGAGACTTATAAATAAAGATACTTCCTCCATTGAAAAATACAAAATATTTTTTGAAGGGTGGATATTAAAAAATGTAAAGCATTTTAATTCTTTTAAAGTGTATTATTACCTTTTTTTTTCAAAAGTACACTATTGAATAAATTATTTTATATTTATTTTAGGATGTAAATAAGAGTAAGTATAGAAAAGTATAATTAGTTTGAAAATAACTACCTACTTTATTGGAGGTAAAATTTTATTAAAAATATATTTTATTTTCAAACGGAAGGGAGTATATCTCAAAGGCATTGGATAAATGATTTGAATAAAGATGAATGAGAAAATTCCTCCCTCGTTCTTCCCTTTTAAATTTTCTTACTCTTGCCAAAAATTCCTTTTGCTATTATAATTTTTTTTTGCTAAGGCTAGATTTTACTTTTTTATATAATTATTCAAGTATTTTCTTGTACAATTTTTTATTTGGATTAAGGGTTAATTTTGTCTTTAAAGTATGTGTGAAGGTTCACAAATAACCTTAAACTCAACTTGGGGTCAATTTTATCTCTTAACTTTAAAAATTTGATTTTTCGTGCTCTTGACGTTATTTTTTTGTTAAGTAGGTCCCACATTTAAATTTTTAATATTTTATATCATAAAATATTTGATAGCGGGTCCCAAATTTTTAATATTATTTATAATATAAAAAAACTACTCTCTCTCCCCTCCCTCTTTGCATACTCTCCCTCCCTCTTTTCTTCCTCTTTGCTCTCTCCTCGGGCTGTCCCCTCTCTCTCATCCACTCCTTGCCTTGCTTGATGCCTCCCAAATCATCAACCTCCTCATCTTATCCACTCCTTAATGACTACCATTGTCCATTTGCTATGCCGCTGTGATGCCTAGCTCACTTTGCCGGGCACACTGGAATTTCAATGGGACTTTTGATTCGTATAATAGGAGGCTTGCCATGGATCATCTGTAGAATGAGATCCTCGAGATCTTGATATCTTAAGACAGCTTGAAGTTGGAGACCTTGGGATTCTCGTTTTCGTCAAGGAATAGATTCTCAAGCTAGATATCTTAGTGAGTGATGTCGCGATTGTGATAGAGATTGACATAAAACTTGAAGTTACACTTGGGTGAGCTTGGTGTCGGAGATGTAAAACTTAAAGGCATGTGGTTGGACAATGAGCTAGAATATGAGGATAGCAAGGCCGAGATGACAATGAAGGTGACAAGGAGCTTCCAGAAGAATCTAAAAAGGCAACAACAACAACTTCTGCTACAGTGATAATGAGAGTTGGATTGCTCGTCTAAAGGAACGACTTGTGGTTTGTGGATGGCAACATCTACGGCCAGAAGGGCTTTAGGACTTGTTCAAAATAGAGCAAAAGAGGTCACTCTGTTTTCATGATCCAAGAACAAAGCAAATGTGGGATTTATTCATAGCACTGGCTTAGTGCAATTTCAAAGTGAGAATCGAGGAGAGAGAGGGAATGGAGGAGAGAGAGAGAGAACACATATACTACTATGCCTTGTTTGAATATGTGCATTCTCAAAGTGATACTTACAAATCGAACCCATGACCTGCAATAAAATAAAGCCAACATACTCCTACTAGCAAGTCACGAGTTCAATAAATTGGCGTGAGATGCAGGAGAGAGGGTAAGGAGAGACAGAGAGGAGAAGGAGAGAGATTTCACCAAGCTTGGCCATCAAACATAACAACCTCTTTGGCATGAGTTTGTGGGCATGCATGAGTTGAGGAGCAAGAATTGATTTAATGAAGAGTGGGAGAGAACCACTATGACTGTAGCACAAGCTGTAGCTTACACGTTGAAAGCATGAATATTGCTAAGAGGGAAGAGATTGGGACTAAAAAATTTTTAACAAAATAAGTGGTGGGACCTACTCAAATATTTTATAATGTAAAATATTAAAAAATTTGAATGTAGGATCTGTTTAACAGAAAAATAACGTTAAGAATATGGAAGATTAACTTTTTAAAGTTAAGGAAATAACATTAATCTCGAATTAAATTCAAGATCATGTGAATCTTTACATACACTTTAGCAATAAAATTAATCCTTGACCCTTGTTATTTCGACAGTTTTTGATGGTGCCAATATATATATATATATCTATGATTTACGATCACAGCGTACGGATGCATTCATATTTGTGGCGAACTTAAGGGCAAATACGACATTTCAATGCGTCAAACCTCTGGTTCTCTCCGAAGTAGAACCCTCCGGATTGCGACGTACAGTGCGGCGTCGTCCTTCTCGGACTAGCGCTTAGCCTAATTAATCTCTCTCGTCTTGCAGAGGCCAGAGTGCATAGAAAGAGACGACAAGAGATTCAGACTTCTTATATTTGAAGATTCCAAATTCCGCTGATTCGGATTTTTTTTTTCTTTTCCCGCAAATTCGTTCTCGTTAGCAAATTTCTTAATTGACGTTTTCCCTGAATCATACGCATCGGATTGGAGTTCTGATTCCCTGTAAAACCAACCCTACTGCTATGGCTGGAACCTTGACCCCCGAGAAGAGTCCCCTACTATCGCCGACGAGCTCGAGGTCGGTGACGGAGACGGTGAATGGGTCGCATAAGTTTGTGATTCAAGGGTATTCGTTAGCGAAGGGGATGGGAGTTGGGAAGTACATTGGAAGCGATTTGTTCACAGTGGGAGGGCATCAATGGGCAATTTACTTCTACCCCGATGGCAAGAATCCTGAGGACAATTCAGCCTATGTTTCTGTTTTTATCGCCTTGGCAAGCGACGGTACGGATGTGAGGGCTCTGTTTGAGCTCACGCTTTTGGATCAGAGCGGGCAAGGAAAGCATAAGGTTCATAGCCATTTCGATCGGTCGCTCGAGAGCGGTCCATATACACTCAAGTATAAGGGCAGCATGTGGTAGGGTTTCGTTATCCTTCTCATACTCTGTATTGTCGGTAGTTTTATTTCGGTTTTGGTTTGCTGGAGTTTTCTTTAAATCTTCTTCCTGAAGGGTATTTCAACGTTGAACTTCATTGGGAATGTCCATCATGAGGGATAATGCGGTGCCCTAATGTTTAGACTCTTCTAAAACTACAATTTCTGATGAAAATGTCGCAATTTTATTCTTATGCAAAAATACTAGCTGCATTAATCCTGTTTCTTGATAAGCATTATGTTAGTCACATTCTGGTTTAAAGATAAACGAAGCTAATGGTAAGATCATTGACATTGTAACTTGTCTCTGTGTGATTGGAACAACCATTCTCCTGCTCTACATTTTCATAATATAGTTACCTGGTTTGCTATGCCTAATATGTTGCTTCTTTCTTTCTTGTGACATTCCTTTTTAAAGTTATTCCTTGCTGTCAGATTACAATGTCATATACAGTATCATGTATGCTGGACTTTTAGGAACTGGAATTCTTTTTGAACGAATATTGAAAGATGTTACAGAAAGATGTTTGCTTGTTACACCTTAGTGATAACGTGAATTCATATTTGATTATTTACGAGAAATTAGATTGGTAGCTTGGAGGATTTTACATATATTTCTTGTTTAAAAAACTGTGTACATAACAACTTGCCATCGATACTACTCACATTATTCAGTTTTACAGTCTATGTCGATGGTACTTACCTAGGCCAGTGCTGTTACCCACATATTATGTACTGAATCACCAAAAGTGGGATCTCCATTGTACATTCATGAGGCAGTGAGTTTGTATGTATTGGCTTCTTGTTTTAAAATGGAAAAAAAAAGAAGGAAAAACATAATTATCGATCCTTATAATTTTAAACACTGAAAAAAAAAAGCTACAGGGTGTAAAAACAAAATCTGATGAAACTATAGGACCAATGATTGTGTTTTCCTGAAAAAATTATCTTTAATTCAATTCTGAAAGACTTGAACCTGGAAGATGACAGAAGGAGATCAACTCCTGGAGAAAGACTGAGCTAAAGCTGTCTAAAGTGTTTCTTTAACCCTTTATTCTTTTTCACTCATCCTTGTGATTTGTGAATGTGTAAGAATTTGTTCAAAACAAAATGCACACCTTCTGTTTGTCAAGATTTTTCTCTCTAATTGGACATTTCTTAGTTCACTTACTGTGGATGAAACTTAAACTGTTTTAGGGGAAAATTGGCTAAGGTTATCAAATTTCAAATTCTCACAATTTTTTTCTATAAAATGGAATACAAGAATTACGTCACTGTGCAGAAAAGAGTGTCTATATGTTGAACTAGAAACTATCTGTAGATATAGATTATGGATGATGTTAATGGTTTTAATTTAATTAACTCATACTATTTAAGAACAGCTAGATTAATTAATTTAATGAAGAATAATATTTACGTATAGAGAAGCCTAATTAATTTGAATGCACATTCATTATAGACAGATCCAAGAGCTATATTCAGTGTAAGCTATTAATTTGGAGGTACATTCCATTCATGTCATGTGTTATTGTGTTATTACTGGTCTTTTATCTTGAACATACACTGTTTAACGTGAATCTTGTGCTTGGATTTTTTACGGTTGAAAGTTATCGTTAATTCCCTTTCTCTCTTTGAAACAAACTTGATAATTTTACATTTAGAATGTTGAGTTGGAACACTCATTTTAATTTATTTTTTGAGTTTTGATTTGTGGACTTTTTATTTACCTTGTATTTAATATTTTCTAGATTAATGATGGTGATGCTACCGTTGGGGAGTTTCAATTTAAATTGTATTCTACTAAGCCTACCCTTTTCTACTTACTGCGTATTGGGAAATTCCCATACTGCTTACCAGATTGAACTGCATACTGATCTATTTGTGCATGTGATTGACCGGGAAAAAAAAGAAAAAAATAGGGGGGCAGGCAGATCTGGGTGCAAGTGAATACTAGAGCCTAGAGGGGTAATTTCTTTAAGCAGTTAGATATGCTTGAATCTAGTGATTGCTGGATCACTGCAATGATGAATTTCTCTTGTATCTTTTTTATTTCTCATGACATCTAGCCAGAGACAGATCCAGGGGGGCATGCAGGGGTGCTCCCCCCCACCCCAAAATAATTTTCAGCTCCCTTTGGAAATTATTTAATTTTTCTTTCTTAAAATTACTAAAATTGATTCTCCCCCCCCCCAATATTTCACCTTATTTAAAATCCCTCCTGGTTTCTCATTCTGGATCCGTTCGTGCATCTAGCCATCTACATTCTTTGCAGATAATGGATTTTATCCCAACCTGAAAAATGCTCTTCTGTATTGTCATTTGTGTGACTCAGATCTTGTTTATCTGTGCATGTAGGGGATACAAGCGGTTTTTTAGACGTACTTTGCTTGAAAGCTCTGATTATCTGAAAGATGATTGCCTGAAATTCAACTGTACCGTTGGAGTTGTAGTTTCAGCTGTAGATTGTCCTCGACTTCACTCAGTTAAGGTTCCAGAATCTGACATTGGAGCACACTTTGGCATGCTATTGGAAAGTATGGAGGGTTCCGATATTACTTTTAATGTGGATGGGGAAAAGTTTTCTGCTCATAAGTTGGTGCTGGCTGCTAGATCCCCAAAATTTCGATCTAAATTATTTGGAGGTTTAGATGAGCATAAAGAGGAAATTATTGTGTCAGATTTAGAACCTAAGGTTTTTAAGGTAGAAAATCTTCACATTTTTTTTTTGTTTCCCTTGAACCTTAACCTCTCTATTCAGTCAGGTTTAACATGGACCGGAACATTTTTTGTTGCTCTCTGTGTTTTACCTTTTCAACTTTAATGGTGATTTGTTGTCCTGAACGTTCTCTTTTTGGCCAGGCCATGCTGCACTTTATCTATCGAGATACCCTTACAGATGAGGTGGACATGGTTCCATCAACCTCATCTAGTGAATCCTCTGTGTCCGAGACATTGTCAGGAAAGCTGTTAGCTGCAGCAGACAAGTATGGCTTGGAGAGGCTTAAACTGATGTGTGAATCTCGTATCTGCGAAGACATCTGTGTAAATTCTGTTGCTGACATATTGACCTGGGCTGACCAATGCAGTGCAAGAGAGTTAAAAGCTGTCTGCTTAAAATTTGCTGCGCAGAATCTGGCAGGTACATATAGTTAGCATTACTTGCTTCACTTACTATGAATCAGAATGGAAAGCAACCATGGAAACATAGAGACAGGTTTTAGTTCCGCTGAGTACCAACTTCTAGGATACGAGGTTTTTTTTGGGTGTAATGGTTCAGAATTCCCATGTGAAGTTAAGGCATCAGATTATAGTTACTAAAACATCAAAACAATTTTCTTATATCTCTATTATAAAACTACAGAACAATTTGTATTGTTTGACTTTTTGTAAGTTTTATATTTATTTACCTGCCAAGTTTTGCATCCTTAGCTTGTTGGGACTTACTGTTGCAGCTGTGATGAGGTCAGATGGATTTCAGTCCATGAAAGATAAATGCCCACGGCTACAGTCGGAGATGTTGATGACAATTGCAGGCTGTGAGAGTGATTACTGCAGTGCTGGGGGAAAATCTCGGAGTGTGTGGGCCCAACTATCAGATGGCGGTGATTCAGATGGTAGGAGGGTCAGGCAGAGAACCTGATATCTCATGTCTGGAACTACTCTGATTATTATGTGAATGTGGGTGGTAAAAACGAAAATCTGAAAAAAATGGTGATGGAGAGGGAAGACCCTCTTCTGATTAACTTTGCCATATTCTGATAGAATCCGTTCATTTAAACAAGCAGTTAAAGTAGTTGATATGCAGTTTTTTTATAGTGCATCTTTGGGTGGTGAAAAGATGTCATTAGGCTCTCTAGGATGATAGGCTATTGTGTTGTGTACAAAAACTGTTAATCTGCAGCGATGATTATTTGTAATATCCTGAAATGAAATGCTAAGTGTTATTGGCATGATATTTCAAGTCATGCTCATGCTCATGGAAGGCCAATGTGGAATTGTATGCTCTACTATGCATGAGGCATGCAGTGTGCCTCCTGTGGACATCATGTACCTGTCTTGTTCATCCAATGGCTCAGGAGGACACATCTTCAAATTTGTTGCAAGTTGAAGATTCTACCTCAGTTGTAGTGTTGATCAACCTAAAAGGAAAGGAAAAAGTGGCTGATCTTCGATGCATTTAGAGAAAGATGAAGGTGTGAATGGATTTGGATTTTGGATCCCCTCAATTTTTTAACTGTTCAATTGAGCTAGAGATATTATCATTGACAGGTGAGCAGGATCTTTTGCTCGATCTCATCTTAATGGAGCGATTCAGTAATCAAGGGAATGCAAACTCAGATATGTACTGCATCTAATTGTCAAGATGGATCAACGACAGTACATTTGGGGCTTTCAATTCATAGGAGACTATCAAGATGAAAATCGGAGCATTTAGGACATTGGAGCCTTATGTTTGATTGAGCCATGGGAGCTTCACGAAGTGCTTTGATTTTAAGTGAGTTGTTTTAGACAAGAATGACCATGGATTATGGTGATTCGGGTAAGAGAGCATTAGGAGCTGATTCTTATTTCATATGCTAGTTTTGTGAAATACATGATTTGGCATATAGGTTGTTATCGGAGAGCTGAAATGTGCTGCGTAGTGGAATTAAAACATTGGACCTCCTTTTCGCTGAAACCCATTTTCTTTGCTTCTCCTTTCTAGAAATAGAGATTGGGTGGAGTCTTTTTTCATGGCTGTATAGAATTTGTCATGCTATTCCCCCCCCCCCTCCCTGAATAAACAAGATCTGGGAGAACCCTGAATTACATTAAAACAGAGGTGCCAAAATTAGCGTCCAGATTGGGAATGATATCTGGGAAAGGTGAGTCAAAAATAGCATAGTTTGGACAATGGGAATTCAGAGCAAGCTTTGCCAGCTTATCAGCCAGTTGAATAGCATCTCTCAAAACAGGATTATATGGAGCTGCCCAATCTTCATCAAGAAGCTTCCTAGCTCGTTGTATAACATCAATGAAAGCATGGGAAGGCTTGTTTTCCTATAGTACCAGTAGAAGAATCTCAGCACGATTATAAAATGCAGCAGCCATTTGGCAGGCATTAAACTTGCACCATTCAAGGCCTTTAAAATAAGGCTTGGATTTCCGCTATGATAGGTGGGAGAGATCCCAAATTTGAAGACAAGTCACTCTCTTTTACAGTTCCGTAGGTTGAGATAGAACTGCAATTGCCATGCAGATTGGATTTACAAGTGGTATGAGAAATATCCTCGCGGACAGCTTGTAGACGTCTGACAGTCAAGTTATCATGATTATGTGGTTCAGCAGAGAAGAAAGAGCTGCACTGTAGTCTTAAAATCCAGCAAACATGGCCAAAAAATTTTATCCAAGGAAAATTTGCCCCTTTTGGCAGCCAACATTCCTTTTAAGGTTCCCCTCAAGCTCCTTAGATGGGCTAGTTGAAGAATCTGTCCAGTGTTGTGAGTGAACAAGACAATGACAATAATAACAAGCTTTATCTTATTAAGTGGAGTCAATTATGTGAATTGTATGATATCATTGTGCTCTATCTTCAATTAAACTCTTAAAAATATTATTAATTAAGAGGCTGTTCAAGAACTTTTATTAGTATTTTATTTGATCTTCCTTTATCATTCATTACAGAGTTTAAGATTATTCATTCTATTTTTTTCACTAGTATTTACCATGGCTTTCTTTGGAGTGAGTGAATTAGAAATTTCCAAAAATTACATGCATTAGAAACGGGAGTTTGCATCACCAATCCATCCTCTTTCTACTCTTATCATTTTTGTCACGAGCTTGTCATTTGTCACTTCTTGTTTGCTCCATTCAGTGGATTTTGATTTGAAATCTTTGATTCCTTCTATCTAAGATTCCTCCTCTCCACGCTTCTTGGACAATGCTGGAGTGAGAATTCTCAAGAAACCGAGCAGCTGTGCATTTGAACCTTTTACTTTGTCCAGGCTTATAAATGTTTTGGAAGTCTAGGCTTAGAAAGAGGGGTCTTTAGAACCGAAATTCATGAGATGTTGCACATATGAGAAATTGAAAGTGAGCCAGGGTTTAGATTTAGCTATAGCCTAATCAAGACTTTCTTTAGCATTGCTTTCCCTCCATTTTAATCTATCACCAATGAAGTTTAAAGGATGGAGCCCGGCTTCATCAATTCAGCCAATTTGAAAGCCCCCACACGTCGATAGAAGGAAAAAAAGGTATCAAAGTCACCAATAAGGAGCCAAGCACCATCAGTATTACTTGCAAAAGAAATAATGTCATGCCAAAGTTTGTCTACCATGAGGATGGTTTTCACCATAGAAGTAGAAGGTACAAGTGAAGATAAAACTTGTTACTTGAACGCAAATTGGCTCTAAAATAGAGAGAAGTGTCGTGAAAGAGACTCTTAAAGAAGTCAAATATCCCTGTAGTAACTTGAGGTTTCCACAAATATCCCTCTCATATTATTTGGGACTCTGGCTCTATTTTGGAGTTACTTTTTTTTTTCTTTGGTTTGGGAGCTATCTGTTTACTACCTTTATTATATTATTTGAGACTCTTGCTCTATTTTGGAGTTATTTTTTTGATCTAGGAGGATTTTTTCCTACTCTAAATGACAATGCACCTTCATTTAAAGGAGTTTCCACAATCATGTAATCCATATCATCTTCATCTTCAACAAATAAGTTTGTAAACCCTTATATTCCACATTAAAAAGGTGCTTCCTTGTGACAAACTTGGGTGACAAGTTCTTTCTTAGACCTAATTCCATGCTAATACAAGCAAAATGGCCTCATTCCATATCGTTTGTTAACTCCTCAATCTCAGTGAGGGTACTCATAATCTCATATCAATCTTTGGGAAAACAACCTATCCGATTCCCCAATCTCTTAAGGTAGTGTTTATTATAATAAGGGTAGGGCAGATTTGTAATTCTCACCTCGTTTGGCTAGCTTAGTAAGATTGTTTGTATTAGGGTTAAAGCTTGGGGCCAATCACTAAAGAGCTAGATAATGACCCTTGATAATTATCATCACTCAAACTTTTGAATATGTAATGTAGTTGTAAAAAAATTCATTATACATAGCACTACTATAGGGAGCGTTTTTTTCAAAGTGTTTACACACACACAAACACAAACACACACACACCACCAAATAAAGGATAAAAGTGGAACCTAAGGAAGTTGGGAGTGAATGTTCATATTTAATAATAAAAAAATTATATCTTTTTAAAAAAGTATTTTAACAAATGCAAAACTGAAAATAAAGGTAATCTTTAAATGACACTTTCTTAAAAAAAAGGGATTTATCATTTTAAATTTTTCAGTTAAAAACTTTAAATTTAAACCGTTTAAACGAGATTTGAATGGACCAAATCTCCCAGCAATGATGAGCAATGAACCTGAAATTGGAAGCGGACATGGTGATGGCACGAGTTTCAAGTCAGAGCAAAAGAAGGAATGGGAATTTGGGAATACTTATATATTTAACCTCATATATTCAATATATTTTTATTCAATTAAATTAAGATAAATGAAGTTTAATGTGTTAATAATATTAGTTTCATCAAAAAATTCACATATGCTAATTTAATTAAAAATAAATACTTTAAATATATTAAGTTAAGTATATAAATTTTTTTAAGAAGAAATTATAATTAAATATCATGCCGTATGTGATCTGGCAAAAGGGTAACGCGTTGAAATCTGGAGGCAATCCAGAGAACACGTTAGGATTTCCCCCCCCCCCCCCCCCCAAAAAAAAAAAAGATTTCCATTCAATTTCTCTACTCTCTATATATTTATTTTTAAGATTTCTTTTCGGAATTTTCCCCTCATAAATAATTTCAAGATCGGTCCGACTCATTGCCAAAATATATCAATAAATTAAATATTTTTTTTGGAAACATTCAAAAGATAAAGGTATAAAATAAATGCTCTTTTTTTTTGGCCAAAGGCATAGTATAAATGATTTGAAGAAGCATATATAAAGTTAGTTACTTTTTTTCGTCATCTTGATATTAATCATTTTAGCTTATTTGATTTCTTTGTGTAAGTTTTATATAACGAATTCTATCTTTTAACATTCAGCTCGAGAATAATAATGCTTCTAAATATGTTTACATGCCGATTAAAAAAATGGCCCAAATAATGCTTTTAATTATGTATATTTTAAAATACAAAATATCTTCATAATTTAAAAAATTTATTAAATTTTTAGATTACTTAATTATAATTGCAATAAATCTTGACATTTATTTTTGCGGGCTATTTATGGCTACGAGTTACCTTGGAGTGTACGTTAAGTGGTGACCAAGCACTTATTTCTTGGTCTCCAAGGATTTAGAAAGAAAGTAAGTGATCTATATATGTTTCTAAATCCTTTTGATTTTGCCTACACAAAATATATTCCTTGAAATTAAGTTTTGAGTCTCAGTTCATCGCTCAATTGTTTTTTTTTTTTGGGTGCATTCAGAAGAAATAATGGAATATTGCGATCACTGTAAAATATTTTGCATGTCAAGATGTGAATCTGGCCCTTGTGAAACCAGGTACGTAACGTTATCTCTGATTTTTGGGCTACTTTTTTTGTTTAATTTCATGGTAAATATATCTGTGCATGTAATCTGAAATAGTGTTGTTAATAATTGAATTCATATTTTTAATCTATATTAGAAAGATTTTAATATTGGTTTCTATCTTCTTCTCACCTCATTCTTATTACTATTTGATGGATCAGTAGTATTTTTTTAAAAATGAGTATTTTAGTATTAAGAAAGCTTCTTTTTTCCTTGAAAGACATGGAAAATTATTGGGGAAAAAAATAAAACATCGGGTTAAATTTAAAATTCTGATTATTAAAAAAAATTATTACATTTTCTTTATGATTATTCGATTTTAAATTAGATTCATGCGAATTTTTGCTCTTATTGATCAAATTCTTTAATATCTCTCTCTTTTTTGTTTCCTGCCTTTTAGAGGGATGATAGTTTATGCCTATGGTGTTCTCAATCATACTTCTTTTTATTGATTTAATTCGAATGATTTAAAAATTTTTAACCTAGATTTATCATTCTTAATATTTGATATGATTGCAATTCTTTGTTTTCAAGATAAAAAAACAAAATCTAAATTATATAATTTAAAGACTTCTAGTATAATTTGGATAATTCATACAAAACTTTGCTTACAATTAAGCAATGGGTATTATCTTCTATTGAATATAATAATTATTTAATAATTAAACAAATAGTTATTTTATTATAATTATAAACTCAATAATAAAAAAATTCAAAGTAAATTTTTGTCTTTCATTTTCTCTGTGATGGTTCGGAACACCAATAAAATAATTGTGGGATTCCATTGTTTTTTTCAGAAAAGAAAATTAAATCAATAGTATTTTTTTTTCACGGCAGTGTGAATTAAGCTTGAAAATAAGAAAAACATTGAGAAATTTGAATGTTATGAATTTGCAGGTCTTGTTCAATTTGTGGGAAGGTTTTGAGTGACAAGTTGAGCAAAAGATCGAAGAGATATAAGAGACAAAGAAAATTGGATTCTTATACGAATGAGGAGAAGGACTTTATTCATCAGAACATGAAAAAGAAGAAAATGCATTAAGTGGGGTCAATTTTTATTATTTTTATTTAACAATAAGTAGCTATTTCTTCTTGCAATTCAATCTCATGTGTAATGATTTTTTAATTAATATTTTTAATACTTTAATTAGCTGGACATTTGTTTGGAAATAAATAAAATAGTACTTTTGTTTTATGGACTAGAAGTTTTTCTTTTTGTTTTGTACAACAGACTGCAAGTTTTAAAAAATTTAACTGGGTACAAGGAACAAAATAAAAGGTATGTTGTATATGCAATAAATTTAGATAATTTTTAGTTTGATAAATGTGTTGCTCTAATATTGTACGGACCGGAATTTTTATATTATAAATTTTAAAAATACATGAACTTAGGTTAAAATAAAAACAAGAATTAAAATACAAGTGGGGATAAAAAAATAATAAAATAGAAAAGAGTAATAAATATTATTGCAAAAAAAAAACATAAATGTGAGCATGTTCAATAAGATATTTATGACCTTAGTTGAAGCTTGATATGAATCCAAGGAAAAATTCATTTATCTTATTATTGAAAAAAATCAAATATTAATAAATATGCATAATCCAAAATGGAAAAAAAAAAAATTATACAAGTAACTTGTTGCTATGTATGCGCTCCACTTGTATATTGTTGATGCATGCATATCATTTTTATGGCTATTATAAAAAGATTATAATATACATCGATTAATAAGTCTTAAATTATCAACTATTAGATTTAGAAATGAAGTGTGTCAATGTCCTAGAAAGAAAGGAAATAAATTAAGGGTAAAATTAAATTCAAACGAATTCGAATGTAAAAACTGAAAATAAAGAGATCCTAATGACTAAGTCAATAAACAATTAAAATATAAAAATTAAATAAAAAGATATGATCTACTAACTAAGTGAGGAAGGAAGCAAGGGTCGTTAATTTAGTGGTAGATCATTTGACTGCAGATTAAGAAGTCATTGGTGGTATTATAAATATGTTAAGGAGGTTAAACTATGCTGTCAAAGAAGCCTTCTTACTAGTGAAAGCAATA